GTCCCTCCCTCCCCGCGGCCGGCCGGCAGCAGCCCCTGCCCGACACCTGGGAGGTTTCCTCAGCCTGATCCCAAGTCAGAATCCGCCGCCCGCTCCATCATATGAGCGCTAGGAGATGACATGGGGCGTTTCCCAGTTCCCCATTCCTTACATCCACCTCTGTGCTCCTGCTTCTGCAGACCCTCCACGAACAAGGAAAGCTGGTTAGTGGCTGTGTGTCAAGCTACCACACCTCTTGTGGGAATGTTTTAAGAAAAACCTACAGAAAGTTGCCGGTAAGCACAGATGCTCATACTGCATATTGTGTGCAGGGAGCAAAGTGCTGACACGCGGCTTCTCGCAGGTGCTGGGCGTGCAGGAGGTGCTGAGGCTGCCGCGGGAGGCTCGTCTCTCACCCGTACGCACAGCGCTGGGGAAGGACTGAGCTCCTTTAGGGAAACGGAGAGTTAAAACCACAGCGGGGGTCTCCCCAAAACAAAGGTCTGTGCAGGCATGCATGGCTGTGTTTCACTGCCTATTATTTTGTGAGGGATTCTGTCTGCAACCTGGGTTAAAAATAACCCAGAAAGGTTAACTTGAAAGGTTGTTTTTAATGTCCTTCATTTCAGTGATTTGGTCTACAGTGTAGCCACAGAATCAGAAGTGATGGCACTAGTGAAAGGGTGGCAAGTGCTATCAAAATGGCAGAAAGGAACAACTGGAGGGACTGGAAACCAGACTGAAGACAAATAATTTGTTGATATTTTATGTTGTGCTTCTGGGATGTCAACAACCACCTGAAATTGAAGGCAGCATAAATCATATCTTGACAATTTGATCCTGCAGTCTCTTAGTACAGTCTTACCAAGCAGTTCCCCTCAAAAATAAAGAATTTCAGATTCTACAGCAAGTAATGAGGGAGTTCTGACTACAGCCTGCACTATTTCTCCTCTGCTGACCAGAGGCACTTGAGTGACAGAAGTTCAAAACAAGACACTCCAATGTTACTGTTCTGTTTGTAAAAGCAGTGAATGTCCACTAAGGAAAACAGGAGCCAACCGGATCTGTACAGATTCCAAATCTTCAGACCTTTAGCAGCAGTCCCTCCGGGTAACTTCCCAACACAGAAGAAACTTCACACCAGCGCAAAGCCTAGCAGAAAGTGGGGAATCGGCCAAAACTTGCATTCCTGTGGACTGTCTCCAATGAAAAAATGGTCCCTAGTCAACAAAGAAAAAGGACTACCAGCTTTTAAATAAGAAAATGCAAAGAGTTAACTTTAAAGGAGTCGTACTAAGGTTCACTTTGATACACCAGTGCAAATATGATTTGCTGTCTTCTTGTTTAAATGAGATGCAGTGCAGAAAAGAAAATAAAGGCCATGAACATGTGTTGATACCTTTAGATGGACTAATCCTGTGAAAGGAGACTTACTTGCTGTACCTAGGAATGAGATCAGGGACTCCTGTGGGCAACCCAATTAGCCAGTCCATGCCTCAGCATCCTCTTTTGTCAAATACCGAGAAGGGAATCAATCTTTCCTTATTGTGCAGAATTATTGCAAACTTGCCTTCAGTGTGCCATGCAAAGTACTTTCTACGGTATGGAACAAAACAAAAAAAGGACTCACAAAAAAGAACAAGCATCTGAATAATAGGAAATCAGATTGAAAAATACTGGAGTACCCTCTTCTGCTGTTCATATGGCAACTGTCAAGCAGGAGGGTGTACCTTTGGGAGGAGAAGGGGAGGGATGCAAGAAACACAATATTCCGTAGGATTCTTAGGAAGAGCTGACTTGGGACAGGGGTGAGAAGATGGTGCAGGCCTCCCAAGAGATTATAGAGCAGAAAGCAAGGAGCAAAGGAGGAAAGCAGCGAGGTGTCAATCAGGACCAGCAAGTACCTGACCCTTGGAGGTAAATACCCACTTCCCACTTCTTCTGGTGGAGCTGCCTGGTCAATACCAGACAAATGAGAGAGGGAGATCTAGGAACAACATTGAGTCCCGATTTGGAAGAAAGTGTGTCTAAATCTCCTTTATCTGGCCATGGTTTCATCTGAGACCCAGTCCCCAACTAAGCAACTGTAATCTTTTCCTGAATCAAGACCAGCACTGATAAACTGAGCTTAGAAACCTACATTTAAAGGCTGATCGTTCCCAGCACTTTGACTAAAGCAAAAGCTGGGAAAAATCTTAAGCGTGACCACGGAAATGAACAACTTTCTTTACTTTTTTTGCAAAAGTAGGCTCCTTTTCTAGAGGTTTGCTTCAGGAGGAGAGCAGGTTGGTTTGTTGGAGTGCATGTGAAATATTTCTTCGTGAAAAATGTCTGTGCTGACTCTGCTGAGAAGAAATCGAATTAGTGCCAGCTACGCTTCCTCTGGAGGTCTGCTAGGAATTCAGCTACAACCAAGCAAAGCAGCTGGCTGTTGCAGAGCAGCAAGGACAGAGTCCTGCACTAAACTGAACCTGTAATCTTGAAAGGTAAATTCTGACCTTGTTACCCCCTTGCTCAAGCCATCCTGCCACTGCACACTTCATATTTAAGATACCTCCATCACTATTTTATAAACCATTGGAGGTCTACGTGTGGCAATTCATGCTCTACTGTAAGAACCAGGAGGCCGAGCTGACTGAATCCAGATGTTAGAACCACGTATTCACATATCATCGCAAACAGCAACAACGTGGGCAGGGAGAAGAATACTGAGTAAGGACAAGAGAGAAGATGCCGACATTCAGATAAGGAGGTGGAAAAGCTGTGCAATGCGTAGTCAAGATGCAGGAAGGGCAGAGCATGACTGGATGAAATGGGGGAGGAGAGCGGTTTACAATGCAGGCCAAGGCTGGGCACTGCTCTCTAAGGGACCAGCGTGCACCAACAGAGAGAAGCACAGAGGAGCGTGTTCAGTTTGGCAAGTCTTCCAGCTGTTCCCTGTCTCCCTCAGTCTATGCTTACAACTCAGATACATTTGGCACTGACTGGGTATGAGAGTGCTACAGGAATGGCAACTCTTTCACATAATTTGCCCATGAGCTTCCTCTTCACTGTGCCAAGGAGAAGGCGGACAAAGCTTTGGCTGCTTGCTTTACAGAACTAGTCTGACAGCCGGGCGAAAGGAAGCAGCAGAGAGGCCATCGTGCTTGCAAAACCTCCAGCAGGAGGAGTTTTAGATGGTTCAAAGAGAGCATTCAAACAAAAACCTCCCACAGCCTGAAATTCAGCTCATGCTAATTGAGCACTAACTGCAGGCCTTCAAGAAAAAAGAATCCTTTCCTCCAGTCGGTACTGCTCTGAACATAGCAGAGACCAGGGCAGTATTTACAAATATGTATGTGAGATGTGTGGTTTCACGGTCTTTAACTACTGCTTTAAAGATGGTAGGTAAAATTAGCTTTTGGTTGCAGACACCATTTAGAAGCAGGAGACTGTAGCAGCCTTTAGGCTAAATTTTGATACCCTAACGCTGAATAATATGCTGCTCTTGTTCTTCTTGGTAGTTAGGTTCAAATCAGTTTACAAAGGAACTCAAATCTCTGAGCTACAAAGAGACTTAGGCATGGGTGGTGACATGAAGTGGAACCAGGAGATGAATCTCTTGTACCTGAATCCCTTTCCCTGGTTACTAGACACGACTGCTCCCATTTGCTGCTGTTTTACCCTAATAAGCACAGGTATTTTAAAGCATAACAAGAACCAAGGGTATGATGCAGCGACAGAGCCAAGCCCACCCTCATGGCTCACCGCCACTGACCTGCCCGGGCTTGCTTCTGTTACTCAGCTGGTGGCTCTGGGGCTCACTGGAGTTTAACTTGACAAAGAAAGCAGAACATTTTTCTGCTGAGTTAGTGAGCTGAATAGGTTCAATGAAGTGTTCAGTGAGCACCGGAGCCAGCTCAAGAGACTGGGCCACTTACGGCTGGGAACAGCAACAGCTGGGACAGGAACAGCCGCACCTTTCAAGACAGCACATTCATAGATGAGCTTGACAGCGTTGTCAAACCACACACAGAGTCTTGCAATCTTCCCTTTTGCACTTCCGATACCAGATTCAATGATGTGAGCCACCGTAAAGAGCTCCGCTCAGAAGCGGGACACTGCTGTAGACTAGTTAACAAAGGCTGACCTGCACTGTTTGCGTTAGTAGAAAGGGACTAGAAATCAAGTCCTCTTGGAAGGTAGGAATTCCAGGGTCATCAGTCCAGGTGGAAAAATTGGAAAATAAAGATTTTAGTATAGTTTAGGTCATTCCCAAGAAGCTGCTTTCCTGATACATCTTATTTACTACAAGCCAATCATCCCAGTTACTCCTGTTATTGCTGGATAGGAATCGTCTGTGGCAAGGATTTGATCCATTTAATTACAGATATACATATTTTCCACCTCTAATTCAAATGCTGTCCAAGCACACAAGTGCAGTTTGCCTGTTTAAAAGCAGTCCATTTGACCTAGATAACTGCTATTCTCTCTCAAGACAAAAACTCTCCTCACATTCTTTTTAAAGTTCTTTCATGTTGCGGGCTCCATCCAACACCCAGAGGTACAAAAGTTTTAACTAAATTATATTAAACAAGGACTGTAAGACCTATCATACTTGACACTGAGAAACAAAAATGAAAACAACTGACCCTGAGACATTCTAGGACTTAGCAGAAAAAGAAGTGTCTTCTACCCAGGCTTTGGAAAATCACAGTTAAAAAACAACCGGCTCAGAACTTACCTCTATGTGATGCTTGACTTAAAAAGATGCCTAGAAGAGGTCTTGTACAATAATGTTATGCACTGGAAGGTTTACACAGAATTTAAATGGAAAGAGTTATTACCGGCATTCAGAGGAAATCACCGTTTCATTACTTTCCATTTTCCCTCCAATCAGTGCTTTCCAGCCACTGCCGGGCCACTGTGTTGCTTTAGGAGTATCTTTCAACTAAGTTCCCAGTGGAGCATCTGATATTTTTCCAAGAAAAGCTTTTGAGACGCTGAACGAACAGTCCTTTCAGTACAATCCCTGTGCCCAACAACTTCCTACATAAAAGCCCTCATTATGAATTTTGAGTCAGTGGGGCTTTCTCAGTCAGTGTGTGTGCTGCTCAGGCTTTCTTGACCTAGAATTGGTATTTCCCATATAGTTTGTATGAAGCCCTAAAGCACATTTCAAATGCTGTGCAGGCTAATGACTACAAAAGAAAAAAAAAAAACCAAAAGAAAATCACATTAAAAAATTTGATTCGGAATTGGCAGCTCTGTAACCTCTCCCTTAGCTGCCATCTCATTAACATATTTGTTCAAAAGCCTTTTCTCTGCTTCATTACATAATTTGTGTTACAAAATCCAGATAAACACTCATTATTCCCAGGTCTAAATAATGGCTTATTGGGCTTCCTTTTTCTTCTTCTTTTATTTTTCCCAGAGAAAAACGGGGGACAAAGGGGCTTGTTTGGATGGGAAATTTCTGAGTAACACCTGGGACATCTGTTGTGTATGGCATTACAATACATTGTGCAAGCACTAGTGAATGATTCTTCTCAATACCTCTGCAAAGTAGTAGAATTAATGTTGTCCCCATCTGACAGACTAAGAATGTCAGTTCATATTTTCTGCATCTCCTGTATCTTCTTGTGCCACACTGCGCAGAGTCTACGACATCAGAGAAGAGCTGCTTGCATCATACGGCTGTAAGGGATCAGTTGTAATAGCAGGTACAAGAAATGCTAGGCCTTCCATCAGAAAATCCTGAAGATGTTGGTATTGGCATTGAAATGAAAATGTGACGTTCTGTTCCTTTTTCTCTCTACCTTGTATTTCTTCTAAAGTTCCCTATGTAAAAATGTAGAGCTGTGTGACCCCCAGCTGAGGTCCTGTGACGGGCAGGACCTGGGGGCACCTGGGGCCTCTAGTGCTGTCGGTCAGTCACGACAGAATATCATGACAGAATATCAGCAGGGAGAAAAGGCAAAGCTGGTTAATGCAGGCTGGAGATTTCACCTTGCACAAACTCGGATACCCTGAAGTGGTCCGAGGGTCACTGGGGAAACAGTGAGGCCTGGGAGTCTGCTGGGGCAAGGCTGAGCAGCCACCTTGTGGGGCTTGGTGAGGTGAGGCTGGAGGACCCATGCTGGGTTTGTCCCCCATGGTGATGGTGGGCAAATATTTCCTCTCCACTAGCTGGCTGGTTTTGTCTGAGTGGGACAGCATTGCCCCAGGGAGGCCAAGGTGGGTTTGTGAGGCTGCAGAGTACCGTGATGAGCGCTCCAGAGGTGGAGGGGGCTGCAGCGTGCCCCTGCCTGCCCTGCTCACTGCAAACCAGCTCTGCACCCCGTCAGCCTGGACAGGCTGGGGGAACAACGGCTGTGGTGACATCAGCTGGGCAAGCGCTGCGGCCGAGCGGCCACCAGCCGTGGTGGGGCACAGGGCGGCCGCCAGCAGAGCCCGCTGCCTGAGGCAGCCCTCTGGGGTTTGGACCACAGCGCTCCAGGGTTTGTTTCATGGTGCTTCCTCTCCATCTCTGCTGGCTCTTGCCCAGACCATGACCTGGTAGACTGCGACATTATGATTATCAGTAAAATACCATCAGAGGTGAGCGCACAGGCAGGGCTGCCATGCTCCCCACAGGTTCCTCTGTGGGCAGGTGCTGGTGCTACAGCTGCAGAACACACAGCACGGGTGCTGGGCAGGGCGATGGGCTCCGAAGGCTCCCCACTTCATATTGCCACTCCAGGCGTGGAGGGGAGATGGTGGCCAGAGGGCTCCTTGCAGCCCTCTTGGGGAAGCAGCGATGAAGATGGTGTCCCGCTACCTCTCACGTCCCTGAGGCGCTGGCGGGCGGGCGGGCTGCCGGAGTCTGCTGGCCTCCTCCCCGAGGGGCCCACGGGTCACTCCCTCCTCAGGGAGCCACGGGCTCACTCGGCTCCTCGGGAGGCGTCTGCAGCGGGCGGGAGAGCGCGGACAGAGAATCACAGAGTGGTTTGGGTGGGAAGGGACCTCCAAAGATCACCTAGTCCGACCCCCCTGCAATGAGCAGGGACATCTTCAACTGGATCAGATGCTCAGAGCCCCGTCCAACCTGGCGTGCCTGGGTGTGGGGGCAGAGGCCGGCCAGGGCAGCCAGCCCTGCTGCAGTGGGACAGAGGCTGCTTCAGGCAGCCCCAGCTGGCAACCCTGCCTGCTGCATAAACCAGCTACTCTCAATTAAACTGATTTGGGAAAGGAGGAGACTGACACCCCGTAGTTCCTCGAAGGACTAGCCAGCTAATCTGTGTGTGGAACTTGCACTAAAAACTAATACTTGTCTGGCAATGCTGCTGTTTCTCCTTTAAAGAATTTTTGGCTGAGCAGCTGTTTGGGGTGGAGTTACTGCAACAGAGGCTTTCAGTTTCGTTTTTTTTTCCTCTCTGCTCCTAGGAGAAAGGATATCCAGCAGAATAAAAAGAAAAATCATGACAGAAGAGAGCAGATTCTGCAAAAACTGGTAAGAGATCTTTCTCCCTCTCCACCCCTACAAAGTGTGGGGATTTCAAGAGTTTTCTAGGATTTTCCTTGATATTACCTAGGTCTCCTGTAACAGGGGGAGAAGAGGAAGAACCACACAACAGGAGGGATGTATGCCAGCCACTGAGTAGTAAAGGAAAATATTGTGTATGCATTTTCACATTTCCAGGTTGCTGCTTTCTTGATACTTTGCTGCGGAGAGGTTTCTTCCATAGCCTTCTCCTGTGCTGCGTGTTCTCTTTTTACATAATATCACTGTGGGTAATTTTGCAGTGTCTGGCAGAGGAGTCAGTGCATGGACCATGCCAAACTCAGCAGCTGCCTCAGTTTCGCCCCATGGCTGATGTTTCTTTCTGTTGTTATATTTGCAGTTCAGTGATAAAATATTAATTTTTTCCAGTGTAATTGGCAATCTCTCATAGAACAGAAGGCTGAAAGGGGCCACGAGGATAGCGTAGCTTTGTGTGTCTCAACTAGTAGCTGGGCCATTGGGCAAATTATATGAGTGAAGACTGTGAAGCACTGCAATTAATAAAAAGAGTCAAACTTAGAAATGTTAAACATGAGCTTAGCCTCAATGTTATTTGGTCACAGAGGAAAACCGATGCTTAGCCTTGCACAGGGAGCCTCTGCATTATGTTCTAAAAGGTGGTAGGGGGTGCTTTGAATGAAGCAGTTGCTGCACACTTGGCAGACCTACTTCGCCTAAAACTTCTGATAGATGCCTCTGACCAATTCTTAAAAACCCTGGTGACAGAGATGACACATTCCCCAAGGAAATCCATTCTGTTCCTTACCCATCGTGATGATGAGAAGCTTCTCCTCATGTCTACAGCAGATTTCCTTGAGGCAACTTACCTTCTCTAAGAAAATTAGAAGAGTTCACTGCCCCAGGGCTTTTTTGCTGTGGCGGCTCTGTCTTGGAGCTGGGCTGTTTGTAATTTATGTGGCCTCATCCTGGCCATTCTCTCCACATTGAGCAACCAGTAAATATGTTGGGCAGACTGGTTCTGTGGCCCAGACATGATGTCAGAGTTTGAAACAAAGACTAGTGCAGAAAGCCCAGGTGGCATCATCTGTTCTGCCTCACACAGCTCCTCAAAGTAGCAGAGCTGGAAGTCCACATGTCCTTTCAGTCCGTCTTTCTACTCTGGTAGGCCAGAAAGGTTGCATGGGCTTACCTCCAGCTGCCATCTCCTAACGACCATCACTCTCTTGCGTCAGGCATCAGTACCTCCTGCCGCAGGGTCCTGGGCCCACTGCAGTAAAGGCTTTGAAATGACAGGGATACCCTTCACCTCCTGTTGCCCGGCGCACTGATGTCTCTGAGCCCGACGGGAGGGCAGTGAGGCAGACATCCTAAGATGGGTCCTGTGGGATTACGGTCCCAGGCGCTGCTGGCAGAGGAAGTCAGAAAATCGTCTGGTGTGCACGTCAGTCATCCCGAGGCTGTTTCAAGGGGAGCAATGGAAGTTTTACACTGCTTAAGGTTTGCACCTAGAAGCTTCTTCAGGAGATTTTACCCAAGCCCTGTTGAACTGTATCTCAATTCTTGTCCCTAATGTTATGAACACATCAATTATTAAAAACAAATAAGTGATTTCCCTGATAAAGTTAAGTGGCTCTTCCTGAACGCACTGAGCATGGTGACATCTGTGTGTCTCAGCTCAGGTAGCCTTCATCTGAACAGAGCAGCTGCTTGGCTGGGCCACCTTAAATTGGTCCGCTGGGAGCCAAAGAGCTGTAAATTTTTGATGCCTTAGATGACACCCAGAAGAGGGGCCCTTCTTTTCTTTCCGCATCTGTAAACAATGTAAACAACAGCCAGAGCTTCTCCTGAAACAGTTTTTGGACAAATACACCAGGAGCCTCCAGCAGCTGCCCTGTCCCTTTCAGAAGCATTCCTGGTAATATGGAGAACAGAATGAGTAACGGAATCTGGTCTCTAAATGTCTTATTAAGATGAATTGGAAAGACAAATACTTATTTCTAGTTTTTAGGGACAAACTAGTTGAATTGTAACCAGTTGTACTGGGTCTGGCTGGGATGGAGTTAATTTTCTTCACGGCCCCACCAGTGTGTAGGCTGGGGGTGAGCAAGAGGCTGGGAGCAGACGTAGTCGGGACAGCTGACCCAGACTGACCAAAGAGATATTCCATGCTGTATAACCTCATGCTCAGCAATAAAAACTGCATTAGAGGAAGAAGAACAGGGTTGGGTTGGTTGGTTTTTCTTTTTGCTTCCAAGATGGCTATTGTTCAAAGCCTGGCTGGGCATAGGTATGCCTGTGGGAGGTGGTGAGTGATGCCATTTGCTTCACTTGTTCCCCCCCCTTTCCTTCAAACATTAAACTGTCTTTATCTCAAGCTACAAATTTTCTCAGTTCCGTTCTTCCCGTCTCCCTCCCCAATCCCACCGTGTGTGTGGTGGGGTGGCGATGAGTGAGCAGCTCTGTGGGTGCTTGGCTGCTGGCCAGGGACAACTCACTATGCCAGTTCATTGCCTCTTCTCTCTTTCCCATTTATGTGCTCGGTAGTAAACGAGATGTCTCTGCTGCCAATTTCTCCCTCCATGAGGCCCACTGCTTGCGGTTTCTCACTCTCTGTCCAGAATGTGATGAACCAGTTGTCCAAAAGGATATGAAAGACCATCAAACAGAAGCACACAAGCAGGTAAGGAATGCTACACGGTCTTCAGGGTTTTCTTTCAAATAGCAAAAAGCTCTGCCAGCTCTGAAGTAGTATGTTCATGGTACTGAGCTCTATATTAACTGGATTTGAACTTCTGTAATTGTTTGACCAGAAAATCTGTAAGGGTCTGATATGACCCTTCGAGCCTGGTTACAGCACCTTTTGATCTTATTGCACACTCAGCTTAAGAGAACAAAGCTTCTGCTGTGGTATCTGTTTCCCCAGCCATACAAATTACAGATCAGGTATGGATACATGCTCCTAGTGCTTGTGAATTAGCCTGAGCAGGCAAGTTAAATGATTTGATTAGAGGAAGACAGACAGTACCTGCTCTGACATAAACCTTGCTTGTACAAAGCTATGACATCAATGCGCTTTCTTAACAAAACTGAACTGGCAGAGTAAATTTATCAGCTCTTCATATATAGTGAGGCAATAGCATTTTTAGTATAGCATTAAGAACCCTGTAGCTAGAGGTACTATGTTGAAGCATGAATACACAGGCATAACTTTTTATTCTTACTAGTTTTATTGTTTTAGCAATTCCATTGGTTTCAGTTTCTTAACAGAACACATGAGTAGCTCTTGTGGCGAACCTATAGGGAAGTAGCATACCTCCTATGTTTTCAGAGGGGCTGTTATAATTTAGACTAACTGAATATCAGACCTATACTTTTAAGTTAAACGTCAGTCAAAATTTGGAATACACACTCTTTATTTCACATCACACTTTGCATTTCACATGGGCACCTCTCAGAACTGGATCCTCACACAGAATGACAGCTTCCTGCAGAATCATCAGGTATCTGTTTTCCTCAAAATCTCATCAGCCCAGCTCAGGCCTGACAGAAACAAAAATTCACCAACAGCTTGTCGATGATTGGGATGAGAATGACCGGAAGATCATCTCAGCAGCTTGAAGTTGTATTGACGTATGACAGCACTAGCCATCCTCCTGTGCTCCCAATGAACTGCTCTGTGTTTTGCTTGCAGGTCAGATGTAATCTTTGTCACCAAAGCATGCAGCAATACCAGTTGGAGCATCATGAGGTAAGTACGGAGTGCAGTACGTTTTACCGTCTCAGCTGACCTTTGACCAGCCACCAAAAGTCACCCTGATGGGTTCAAAAAAAAGTTCAGCAGCAAAAACATGTAAATCCCTGACTCCTGTCCTGGACCATGAAGAAACTTAAACCTCTCAACAGTTGCAGTGTTTTGGCATACCTTTTCCCCCTTGTAAAGAAGTATATCCTATGGTGGTCACCCACCTGGCTGTGATGGGACAGTCTGTTCCAGGAGATAATCTATTACTTTCTCATCCTTGGCACCTCAAGCTGATGTTCTTTGAGGGCTTCTCAAAGACAATTCTGTCCTGCCCCCACACTCGTATTACCTGCTTTTCCAAAGGAGTTGGTTATACAAAGCAAGAGTCAAGGGAGCAGCTAAGGAGGAGATACACAAAAGAATTGGCAGAGGCTGGGAAGCGATAGCAGCCTGTCCGTGCTAGCTGTAGTCTAACCATTTCAAGGAACCAAAGCAGTGAAGACACAGCAGGCTTCCCCTGGTGGTGCTAGCTGAAGTACTGGAATTTTCTAGGTGGGCTTGTGCTCTGTTGCTAACCTGTACTGACACAGAACGTCTTCACTGCTATTGATTCCCATTTTGCCTATATTGCTGAAATAATCCTAAATTAAAGATAGCCTAGATAGGTGAACTCCTAATACAGCTAAGCCCGCATTTGGTTGTGTAGATACCCCTTAGGGAGAGCATTCTTAAACAGTCACTCATTGCTCTCACCCAATGCCCTCTTTTAGTATTGATAGAAAATTTGCAATAACTTCCTCTATTGATATGCAGACCAAGGAATGCCACAAACGAGCAATGAAATGCAAGATCTGTGAGCTTGAAATGCCCTTCAACAAGCTGCAGGAACACCTGAAGACCTGTGCCAGCCGAACAGAGTGGTGTCGGGAGTGTAACAAATACATCATGTACAAAGACCAGGACAAACACAAAGATATTTGTCAGAACAGTGGTCTGTCCTATCATAAGGATGTGAACTTTCAAACCAGTGAAGCATCCACTAATGCAAAATTTATTTGCCCCACTGGTAAGCAAAATTCCTCATTGTCATGGGCTGGGTCAACTCCGTTAAATCTCAGTGAAAATTCTCCTGCCTTCTCTACAGTTCCCAGTAGTGCAGGCTGGCGGGGGTTGTTGTTTAACCAGCCTCAGTGAAAGGGCCAAGTGTTGCTTTCTATTATGCTGGTTATTGTAAAGCCAGAGTGGTTCCACTGACTGGTAGCTCATTGACCATGTTCTTTTATGCCTCCCTTATATCCTGGAAGTGAAATTCCTTCTGTCAGAAAAGCAGTGGAACTTCTTCCTCTTTCTATTTGTTGCACAGGAGAAAATATGATTTAGAATTTCCTCCTACTTCATATATAAAGCCAGTGATGCATACCTTGATTTCTTGAAGTTGAGAGCAGCTTTATTAGGCCTAAGGTATTGGACAGAGTATGTCAAAACAAAAACTTCATGAATCCTGTCAAAGATTCCAGAAAAGAACAGGCATCAGTAGGTGCAGTGGTTGGCAAAATAGAGAGCAAAACCCCCCTAGCAACAGGATTAGCTAGGCCAGGGTAGGAGTGAAGCGTCTTGAGCTGCAAAACATGAGGCTGGAGCAGAATTTCAAATATCCTGAAGTCTGTGAGAAGGGATGGTGGATTGGTTATGAGTGGTGCCAAAAGCAAAATGTAGTCACAGTTCTGATTCCTTCTTGGCCAGTGGAATCAGCATTCTGTGTTTCTCTAGAACCAGAGACCATAAGTGGACCTGAGCAGCCTGTCTAGGTGACTAGTGTCAGTACTGTGTTTCTCTCCATTTTTTTTCCTTCTGAAGGTACCGATGGCAAACTTTGTCGGAAGTGCAATAAGTCATTCCCAGAAGACCAGTACTCCCAGCATCTGGTAAGCGCATTTGGAACGGAACAAGAGTATGGTCTGTGCTTAATTTCCAGCCAGGTTATTTCTCTGAAAAGCTATATATTAGGTAAGAAAGGGCAGTGTGTCTTGGCGCTTCAAACTGTAGTTTCATGATACCATGTATTCAGCTGAAGCATCACTGTGAGGTAGAGTCCACTGTCCCTCCCCATGCCTCACGTCTGTCGCAAATCACAGCGTACCACACAGCTGGGTGTAATGCCAGTCTTCACCTCATTATGCATGTTCTTTTTTAACAGAATAAATGCAGTGCAGCCCATAAGCTGACAGAAGTTCTTGCTGGCCAGTCAACTTCAAAACTCAGCAGTGATCCACCACAGTCTTCCTCTCTGGCTCCCTCTTCCCCCAAGAATGCAATGGTGTGGAAAGATGTCCGTCCCAAAGGGAAAGAAAGGGACCAGCCATCGACCTCCAAAACCTTGCTTAAACCCCCAAAGAACAAAAAGATTGGTTTTCCCTCTCCCACAAGAGGCGGACTTCCCACATCACCTCAAGCTCTTAAAGACACCCAGTCTTTTGACATGCTGGTGACCTGTGCTCATTGCAACATTCTTCTGCCGCTTCCAACCCTTCAGAAACATGAGGTGAGAAGTGACACATTGGACTCCTACATGCAAAGGGCCATACCTACAGAGTTGCTACTTATCTCCACACTGCCTGGGGTCCCAGGGCCCAGTTCTGGATTCCATAGCTTCTTGAAATGCTGGCCATAGGAACACTCCCCCTGTAAAGTGTGGAATTTGTTAATTCCATTGACTATTTATGCTCACATCTACACAAACAAGATCCATTCCCTATAGTCTGCTTGAGTTTCAGGAAAATAATAACCATGACTCAAGCCATTAATTTTAAGCTCAAATCCTAGAAAATCTTCAGCAACTTCCCTTATTTGCTGAAGGCTGATCTTGTTCCTGCTAAGCAAATAGTATGATTATATCTCAGCTGCATCAGAGATGGAGCTCTAGATAATTTTCCATCCCAACAAAGGGGCCCAGTTGCCTCCCTACTGAATATGATTGCACGTTGAATATAATGTTAAATTATCCTCTGATATGACTGTTACTTACTTTTCTAGATCAAATGTCTACGTTTGACATCTTTGAAAAATGCTGGGATGAAATAAAAATCAGGCCATGGAGAAAAAGGTACTGCAGAGTTCCAGAAATTTAGAATAGAATTCGTCATTCAGGATTATTCTACATTGGGTGAACAGGAGCAATGGGATATTTTGCAGAGGAAGTGCGTCTAGGAAAGCCAATACTCAGAATATCACAAAGCTCTTTAGATTCCAACACACAGTGGGTTCGTTCCCATGAGGTTGCATTAAGCAAGCATGGCTTCAGAGCCAGTACGTTTTCACTCTCTTGACTCATAGTAACACGTATTCTGCCTCTCAAATTATGCTACTGTGAGCAGTGCGGTACCTTCCCTACTGTAAGCAGAGATCAGCACAAAAGATTTCACAGAAGAGATGTCCTGTCCCAGGTCTGCTCCAACACTGAATGGAGACTTACAGAATAGTTTCAGAAGACAAGAAGTAAAATTATTTTTTCTCCATAGTAAAAATTGCATATTCAGTAGAAGCATTGATAGAATTATGCCAGCCAATACCTCCAGTTGAGCTGGCGCTGATCCACAGGCAGTAAGTCTCTTTCCTCACCCTGTCCCAGACAGGCTGTGAATCTTAACGCTTCTCTTTTTGCTAACACCCCCCTCTGCTTTTCAGTTCCTAAGCAGTATCGTTTCCTCTCAGTCCAATTAATTAAATGAAACTGAAAGCAGTTGTTCTCAGTCTGTCCTTTTTCTGCTTGGTTCAGTAAATAAGGTATTCTCCCTGTAAAACTTTCCTCTCCTGGTAAATTAAAGAGAGAAAGCACCAAAGTGAGAAATAGGGGGTTTGCCTAGGCTTGAATTACAGGACTCTAGTCTTGAAATAAAAGTAAGTACATGGTAATTACATGGATTATTTGGCTTGCATTGTGGCTTTTTTATATTGTTCAACTGAGTGATGACATCGGAAGGCTGTAAAACTGAAACTTTAAAACACTCGTAACTGGGCTTTGTTTGTTTTACAGACAAGCACTCATGATCAAATCTGGAAATAGAGGCATGTCTTCAGATTGACGCTTCTGCTCAGCTTTAGCAAAAGGTGATGAAGGTGCGATAGCTTTATCGACAAATAAAAGTGAGTTGCTACTCTGGATCAAGAACAAAGAGTGACTCAGATTTTTATTCCTTATCAAGAGAGGTATTTAAAAGGTTTCACCAGAAAACTGTAAAAGTGATGGGGGCTCAACAGCTGTTGTCATTTAAAATATTTCTGTGTAAGCTTGCCTTAGGAATGTACTTTCTCCACCCGCTTCAGCAAGGAGAGCAGCTTATTTAAAAATGTTTGTTCTGAGGGGGAGAAGGAAATAAGGAATTCAGAATCCCTCGTCATGTTGAGTGCCACCGATTCCCCTTGCCCTCACCGAGAGTGGGGACCTTAGTGTTTTTCAGGGCATGGCCCAGTGATATTAAAAAACATTAAATCCTGCTCTCTTTCACTTGGTAAACCACTGAACCTGGGCCTAGCAGAAACAGCTTAGTCTCAGGAGATTGCAGATGCATCCAGGGATAACTGAGGGTGGTCATCTTCTGATACACAAAGGAAATTGGTGGAGCCCAATGGTGGAAAAGTTAAACATGAAGAGTGAGTGGATGCTTTATGCTAATGTCTATGAACCTTTGTGAAGCAGCCTTTGCTTCTTGGCCTCTTATATCAATAAACGCTAAACCATGTTAACAGCACAGTTTTACTACAAGGTGCCATTTTCCTCTCATCCGCCTTTAGCAGTGTTCAGTCTTACCTGCTGATGGCTGGAACTAACGTACATGTGCTGACCTGTAATTTGGGTGACATCTTACTTCTCAGATCCAAACTTGTTGATATCTGCATCACTTATGCACACGCACACATGGGATGCGAAGTCAGGCTGAGTTCATAAACTCAGTGATTCAGCAAGGGCCCAGGCTCGTTTCTGCATATCGTAGGCATGTATGTATGGGCAGGACCGAGCCGAAGTGCACCAGTGGACCTTCCAGGAGGAGGCACTTCCAGCCTTGTAACGCTGGGGTGGCGCCGGCGTTGTGAGTGGGACAGCGGCTGGTCGTGTGGCCTGACAAGTGTTAGTGGCTTCTGAGGCTCCCTTAACCTTTGCATCACAGAGGCTGTTTGTAACGGTCAACAGCTTTTCCTACGTGCGTTCAGGCCTCATTAGTTGGGATCTGAAACTCTGCTACTCAAAGGCCAAGAGCACATAACTTCACTTGTGTCTGTCCCAGGCGTTTTGCTGATCGAAGTCTAGTGAACTGCATTTGAAAGCTCACAGGAGTCCTCTGACCACATTTAAGATGGTATTTTCAAACACAATCTAAGACAGTGCTGTCACTAAGGTTTATTTTAAGCTTTTAAAAAATTGTTCTGAACTTCTGGTAAGCAGGTCTAACACTGAACATGGTGCTATGAAACAGATTTTTCTGTATTTGGGGGCAGAGGAAAGGGCTGTGAAAGCATGTCCATGAAAGCTCTACCACTCAATGCATAAATTTATCCTCTTTTATTCTGCACTCGTTAGACTTTCACATAGTTTAGTATTCTTACTATTCTTTGATACACATCACAGCGATGGACTTGATGGATCGCTGCACAAGCTCGCCCACTCTGTTGTATATTTTGGGGTCTGTATGGTCTGGGTTTCCCAGGCCTCTGAGGAAATCCGTTGTTCTTCCAGGTCTGTCTGAAGAGGGCTGGTAAACGTAACATGGTCTGAAGAGAGCCCACAGTAAATCAGTAAAGCAAGTTTGGAGACGAATTGGGCAGGCAGCTCATGCTCCACAATCTAAATCTTTATGCAGAGAAAGAGAGGAAAACATTTTCATCCCTTTTGAAAAGGAACTTTGAAAGCTTTGTCCCCCAAATGCCAAGGAAGACGCTTTGCACCCAGAAACAGCCCAGCCTCCCAGACAGGACAACCAGCGGGCAGGACCAGGCAGGTAAGGGGATGGTGCTGGCACCAACCCTGCTCCCACCGGGCAGCTGCGGAGCAACGCCGGGCGCCCTCATCCCTGACCGCACCGGGCAGCCGTGGGGTCACGGCATGTGCTGCAAGGCAGGAACCAAAGTGGCTGTGTCTGAAAAACGTCACAAAACTTACGTTAGAGCACAAGGCCAGCTCTGTCCTTACAACCCTTCTTTTTTGGGTGGGGAGAAGGCCTAGCTTATTAAAGAAGTGGCATTTCACTGCTAAGCAGCACAGCAGGGCTTATTTCAGAAATCTATGCTGCAGTGTCATCGTGTGGCTGCTGGTGGCACTGGCATGAGCTAAACCGTGTCCTGGCTGGAGACCTGGGCCTTGGAGGGAGGAGGAGAGCCAGGTGCCGCCCGGCCAGGGTGTCCATGCTGCTCCCACTGCACAGCAGCGCTTCGTGGGTACCCCATCGCTCCGAGGCTACACAGCCTTCCGCACTGTTACCGTTCCGTAATGAATAACTTCAGGCTCCCAGCTAGGTTAAAGACAACAGCATCTGGATAATGAGAGCAGCAAGCCAAGCAAGCGTCCAAGGACTGGAGCACTCCCAAAGCCTTCCTGTGGCATGCTTTGGTGCCCTGCATGCAGACGTGACAGCTAGCTGCTAGGAGTTGGTCTCAGCAAGAAGAGAGCCACTTGTGAGCCCCCAGAATATGAGCCAAATGGAAACACCTCTCTGAAGGATCCTGAAAACACCTGAAAACAATCTGACTCCTTCCTTCGCCCAAGGGGAGGGAATGGCTGCTACAGCTACGTCGAATGTTGCTCTGGTCCTGGAGGGGCTGTGCTTACCCTGTCCAGCAAGGTGACCCCTGGTCCCAAGGTCTGGGAGCTCCCTGGGGACAAAACAAGGCTGTTCCTTCCTGCAGAATGACCTCTTTCTGAATTGCTGAGCTCCAGAGGGAGGGTAAAGAGACAAAGGACTGTATGAAAGCAGCAGTGGCCTACGCTTACTGCACATCGGAGGTCTGAGGACTCATAAGGGCTGTGGATAGGGGAGCACAAGTCAAGGGTGAGAAGCAGGCTTCCTTTCTCATTTGCTCTCGGTTTCAAAGTTCCCCAGATTTGCAGTCCAGTTTGGTGTGACAGTGGAAACAGCTTTGGTCACTAGATGGCAATAAAGAATCAATGTGCTCTTCCCTGTTCAATAAGGAAAGGTTGCAAGAGCTTGGCCTAGATTTGCCCTGGGAGAAAGAACTGGAAGATACTAGAGAAACCATGAAAATAAGTGTGCAATCATTCTGCTTGGTAATGAGGATTTGTTTTGTTGTTGTCTGTTTCTTAAAAAAAATGAGATAGGTTGTATTTACCAAGCAGGAAATGGTTATCAGATTCTGGGTAAGAAAAGGAAGCTCAGCCTCACCAGGACAGACACTGAGAGACTATGGCCTCACACTCCTGAAATGCTGCTGGTGTTCAAATACACTGGGATGTCAGAGTTTTACCCTGAAGCATAAGACACATTTTTGTTCTTTAGCAGTGGCAGGAGGCAATCCATTTCTGTATGACCCGCCTTCCCCGGTAAAAGCTTACCTACGTGCCTCTCCATACTTTTTTTTTTTTTAACGATCTTTTGTCCTAGTGAAAACTTTAATACAAATCTATGAGATACCAGTGGGAAGCACACCTTGTATTTGCCCGTTTCCTAGGTGCCGTATGCTGGTGGCTTCTCCTCCGCTACACCGGGTGCTGTGTGTATCGTAATTCTGCTTGAAGGTTAATCTAGTTTGAAGGCAGGAGTTTTGTGTGTACAAAAAATTGCAAAGCCAGCTGGCACATCCCACTCCCGTATACTGTTGTGATTTGAAAGCAGTGTTATGGGAAGCAGAAGGAACTAAATGAAGAAATTAAACTGACAATATACCCTGCAGTGAGCTGATGGGGAGAAGCTGAATGACCTATTTTTGGATTTGCCCACTGCTGCTTCTCAGTGGTTCTGTCGCAAAGGACAATGCGGGATCTCAGTACTTATTGCTGTCTTCTATGGGCTGTGGATTTTCAATAATCCAGAGGGTAAAAGTCATCTGTTAAGAGCCCACACGAGGCTCCCATA